CCCATGATGTTACTAACAATTGTACTCAATCGAGGAACATTATAAAATGGTTCTGAATTTGTAGGTTCAAGATAATCTGGATAGTCTCTGCAATAGTATGGATGAGCTGGTAGTTTCTGGAGCAATGGTGCCATAAGACACTCTTCAACATTATCACGCCTGATTGGTTCATCGAAAGGACAACAGAGACCACGTAGAAATAATCCGGTATTATCAGGAATGTCAAATCTCGCTCGTATTGTGAGGGGCTCTATAATATTATAATAACGAGTATAGAAGAAAAAAAATTCAATACAGCACAATATAGTTAAAGCATACAAACATTGTATTACAATCAATCCAGCTACAGTGACATTCTCCAATAAATTTGTGATATGAGAAAGCTATATTACAGCCCATACTACTATGTCTACTCTACCCTACGTACACACTACTCTATGTCCCCAACGCCCCGAGTCACAAAGTGCAAAAGAGATGGGTATCCCTATACATGTGTATGCCCTCGAATAATTTTGCCTATCTACTCCAGCTACAATAACACTCTCGCAATAAAACTATATTACAACCCACATCACCACGTTTACTCTTATGTAATTTTATTAGGGATTTGCCCTATTAGTACTATATTACTTACTATTACGGTGATTTCGTACGAAGGTACCAACTACACCTTGTTGGAATAAAGGAAGCCCCAGGCCTTGGATAAATGTTGAGAGGGCAGTATCATCATAGGTAAGCAGAGCAGGAACAAAGCCTTCCTCTGGGCAGCCAGCATCTACGAAATTTTGTCTGAATTAGTTAGCTTTGTTATGTCCAAGAACTCTGTCAAAGTTCCCTGTTGAACTGACATTGCTAAGTTGAGAGAAAAAACTAGCATTAGTACTATGCGCGATGTGATCTAATATACTGACGCCGTTAATCAATGACGTATTATTAATTATTAGGAACTTTCTAGACCTTTTCACAACGTAACTATTGCTCAATGTGCATTTGTATTATCACACATACACAAACGAAAACACTAATTGGCCAATCAGAATGCATAGATTATCGTATAATAAAAAAAATAGTATCTATCATGTTCTGCAAATACTTCAATCACGACTGCACAAATCGAACCCATGAAATATAGTACATATGTACAGCTTTATGTTATGCTTGTTTATTATGTGAGACAGATAATAAATTTGAGAGTTGTAATTGCAAAAGAGAGAAAGTTACAGGTCGCTCAGAGAAAAAAGCTTTCTAAAAGATATGATGCAAGATTTACTTTTCACACATGCGCTTTTTTTTTCCTAACAAAACCGAAGTAGTTTCTTCGAACAAACAATTAGAATAGAGAGTTATTGCAGTCATTAGTATAGAAACATATCACGAGCATTGACCCGAATTGTATTTATTTAAAAATTAGCTACGCCTTTGTTTTGTGTGATTTAATGCGAAAACCGCGGCACGTCTATTTTTAATGTCCTATTAATAAATTACGTATGAGCGCTTTCATCATGTTTTTTTTCCCCTGAAAGTTCTAGCATACAATTGCTTTTCATGAATTAATATTTGTCCAGTGTTTCTGAGTGCCAAAGATCATGATATTAGAATGGAACAAAACTAGAAATTGGGGAGTTATTAACAGATTGACTCAATTGTCGCAAAACAATTATTACCCGTTAGCGCTAGCCAAAGACGCGTAATCCCTAATTAATTTGTTACCTTTGATAATTGAGTTAATCAAATTTTCGTATTAACAAAAATTTCTTAAATTCACTATAAAACAAGTTACTGTATGTCCAGGTTAGTAAATTATTTTATCCTTGCGCAAAATATAAGCATGAAAAATCAAACAAGAATTCTAATAAAATTTCAAAACTACCGTTATTTTGAATCATCGATATTTACAATCAACAAACGAGTATATTAAAGTAGTAATACGGTAGGTTGGTTTATTGTTCGGCTAACTTCTTGAACCAATTTTCCCGCCTCTATAGATGCTCCAAATAAAACGAAACGGAAATATTGCTTTTCTTGTTATATTGCCGGCATTTTGATCCTTGCCGAGAAAATCTTTGACCATCATCATGAGTATGTCGTGATCAAGTATAGACGATGCATTCCTCCGTGGTTCATTAATAGTAGATAATGACGGTGAAGAAATTCCTACCTTGGACAATAATCTTGTTCTTCCCTGCAAACTAATGCACAGAATTCCTCGGGGAAGCTTGTTAAAGACATTTTTGATGAAACTTATCTCGACATATTGAAACGTTGAAAAATAAAAGAAGCTGACTGCAGAAGGGGAAGCAATCTTCAGATTTGGGGTACCAGAAGTTATCGATCTTTCGGCTCACTTGTGAGCATGGTTACTGAATCTGAACGTCAGGATACAATAAAGGGTTGTGAAGAAATTTTCAAAGTTCCTGAACTGACTGACGATATTAATAAGTTTAGTGCAGCGGTGGAAAGCGTGAGTATAAATATGTATGTATGGGTCATTGCAAAAAGATTGGTACCTCAAATATTGCATCGATAAAAAAATTTTTATTATGTAATTTTCTTTTTTTTATTATCAGCATATATTGGGAAAGATACGATATAAATATTACCTTAAATTACGTGATCATCGTCGGAACTACTATAAGAATCAAATTCGTCATCAATATTCCTTAGCATTAATAGTTAATTTATGGCATCTTTTGAGTACCATTTTGCCCATAGAGTGGCTGGCTATGATCTTGCGACGTCGGTCAATCAAAACCCTGCGTTGTATTTTTAATAACAAAACAAAAAGTGTAAACAAATAAAAGTTATGGGACCGAGTTTTCTTGTCGGCATTACATGCATAAGAATAGAACACACAAAACGTATTAGTTGACTTTTTTGATTAGACGCGTATTTTGGAAGGAAATAAAGCCTATGCATTTTGTTCCAAAAACTTTTTTCGCGCACTGTATCTTTGGAGCTTTTATGGTCGGCGTAATCATTCCTCACTCGGACGGATTTGCCTTGGGTATTGCCGAGAGAGTTGTATGCTCGTAGTCAAAGCTTCAGGTAGACAATAGCCTCATTCAAGCACAGGCTCCAGATGAGATTGCATGTTTCATGCGCATTTTCGGTTCCGCCATTCAAATACCGACAACGTAAACATATCTAAAGACATTATCCCCCCAAATTCTTTAACCATGCAATATTGCAATATTTTGCTTATTTGAAATCAAAATCGTAAACACATAAACTCTCTCCTCAATGCTAACACCACCAAAAAGGATTCAAGCAAAAGGAGGTCCTCAGCTCTCCAACCTACAAACTTGAGACCTTATTGGAACGGAAAAGTCGCGGCATGGTCTCAGAAATTGTGGTTACCCATTGTGACCGACTCTGCCGCAACCTCATCTACTCCCCCATACTACAAAACTTATAGCTTTCGTCAACGAAGCGACCTCTGACGAGCACGGACTTTCCCAAGATATTCTTATAATCAAGCAAGGAAGAAGAGTCGCCCGACGAGAACCCCAAACAAGGAAAAAAGCGCAAGATCAGGACAACAGCAGCACGCAACAAACGACAACACTTGGAAGCTCTCCATCGTACGTACGCTGCTAATCAAAGTATATCCAAATCACCTTCAAAAGCAGCCATTGAAGCGGTGGATGGGCTTGTCGAGATCTCATAATGCAGTTGTCCGCTGGACCGTTTCTATACCAAAGATTCACATATTGGTCCATCACGACGGGTTTGGATAAAATCTCAACCTATTGAAGATAAGCTTAGACTTTACATGGATGTTCGTGTAGGAAAAGACGTTAATGAGCGTGAAGACAAGAGACTTCAAAATCATGCGTATGGGGTAAACGCAAATTCGTGCGAACTGTTGTGCGTATTGGAATGCTGCTTCAAGGTACACATGACCAACATTATCGGATGAGGCGATTGATGAAGCATTAACTGCCAGGTATGATTGTTATTTTTCGAAAAATTTTTTTTATTTTTATTCATTCATTCATTCATGCATTTATTTTTGATTTTATTTATTATAACTAATTTTAGGGACAAGATAATTAACCAAAATATAGGATCAACACGAATCCGTCTTTGTCATTTCAATCTTCGAAAAGATTTACGACAAACGATACTAATACGCAGAATTTTCGAAATCCACGTGGAACCGTTTTTATATCACTCATCTCCATAATCCATCAATGCTTTCCACATACCGTCATAAACTCTGGACGACAAACGCGATTTGTGGCCGCTTTATTTCGAAAAAAAAAAGGCATAATAATAAGTGGCCTGTTCCTTACAGAATAACTTCCGATTGCAAGATCACATATATTCGCAAAACTAATGAATGGAAGTTTACGAGACGCAAAAACAACTCCGTGAAACCCAAGCGGATAGTTCTGTTTCCATTAACCCTGACGTTCGTACACCCTTCACGTGGTACTCTCCTACCAAAGGTGTAGGTAAAATTGGCCAAATACGACATTGGACGAATCATTCGTCTATGCAGGCATATGGATAATCTTCTTTATAAAGGACAAGCTGGCTGCCTCTAGTTCAAGAAAAAGGCCTTACGACTTGACAATCAGATGCGACGAAAATCAAACACCTGCAAAACGAAGAGTGTCGCATTTTTTACTCGCGAATTTGATGCCATTATCATCCCTCATTTTGAGGTGTCGAACATGGTAAATCGAAAAACAAGAAAAACCCGTTTGTAAAATGCTCTGTTGGGCCCACTATTAATTTCGCCAACGTCTGGTGGCTAAAGCAGAAGAATTAGGTGTCTATGTTATTATCCAAAATGAGGCCTATACTTCAAAAACTTGCAGCTGGCGTTGGGAGCGTTCAGAAAATGGGAGGGTCCGAGATGTACAAGTGTGGGACTGTAATGGATCGAGATGAAAATGGCGCTCGGGGAATCTTCCTCCGGGCATTGCTTGATGGAGCCTTGATTCTCTCCGGAGATCATGCAAGTAATGCATATGTTACAATCCATCCGGGTAGATGAATCCGCATGCATGCATATGTAATGCAAGCTCTCCTACAGTGATCGAGACTTCGCCGTAAGCTAGTATATAACATCTTTTATCGTATGAATAAATGATTCTTACGCCATTTGATTTGAAAAGGGTAAACTACGGATCGAGGATAGAACATTACATGTGAGAATTATGGAAAGTCGGGTAAAATGTCTTATAAAACACTCTAATGGCAGCATAAATTATCTTATAGCTGAATATGTCCGTTACTTTGATGTTTCTGCTATATTTTGTTAGAAATAACAGTCGTTCAACACAATTAGGATAGAGATCACTGTCAACCCCGTTAATCCGAACTCCGTTTAACCGAAGGACCCCGCTAAACCGAAGGTAGGTTCTAAAACCTCTATTACTATATTAAATTTACCGAATTTCCCACCTACGTTCCCGACCCACTTCGGTTTACTATGTACTATGTATAAAACTTAAGACCCGAACCTTTTGTTTCGTTAATTTGAGAACAAACAAATAGGAATGCTGAAGCTTTTATATAGCAATAGTTTGTTCTCCAAGAGAACGATTATTTCAATATTAAATAATTTGTTTTCACTAGTCATTTTGTACTTACATTTTGTGCGCACTCTACCCGGTTCAATTGGAGTATAAAGTTTTCGGGAGATGAAGCAAATTATTCCGTGTGCGACAAAGACGGCATATTTGCGGGATATAAAACATTACACAAATCACATATTAATATAAAATAATAATAATAATAACGATCCCACCCGATAAAGCTAGTCCCGATGTTGGCCAGTGTGCGAGATGCAAGCAACTGCCATTTGCATAAAGAATATGCATGCTTTTTGAATTAATTAGGCATCTCAAAGAAAGCTTCGCAATGATTATAACATTTTTTACAAAAAAAAAAAAAAAAAAAACCTGAGAGCAAAGCAGAATCAACAGTACCACAACATTAATATACCATTGATACCTATTGATCATGTTGTACTACTGTCAACAACAACAGAACATTCTTTTGTGTCATCAAATCCATATATAAGTAAAGCAAGTATTATTATCTCGATATTATACGCTGTTGGACGAGTACCAGGTGAGAGTAATTAGATTGGAATACGATTGTTTATTGCGCTTTAATTAACATTCAACTATGTGTTATAATTCTTATCTTCAACAGCATGGCTCGTCTACATCAAAAAGCGTATTCACGTTTAAATTTACTTTCATTCCACTCATTTGGGCTATATATTCTCTGTGCACCTGGTGCTTATTCTGCTTACTACAGTCGACCAAGCAATAACCATTGGGTCTTTTGGTATTATGCCGGCAGTGGCAACCGCGAGTGCGGGAACATTTGCATAATCACATTTGCTATTGTCTGCGTTCTTTTGCTACTTTTAATATACAGAATATATTCCTTTTGTCGGTCAAGTCATTGGGAAAAGAAATTGGAGAGTATAGATATAACAGAGAACGGAACGGCAACGGCAGCTGGAGAAAAGTTTCGATTATCAAGCTCGAGTGAAAGTCGAATTGAACAGGGTTATGGTGTCAACAATAAGAAGAAAAGTAATGGCACTAGTGATTTCTTAGAGTATGCCGACGCTGGCCCTGTCGCTCCTCCGCCTGTTTATAGTGATTCTTATTCCATACCGGCCGCCACCCCTTCTTACTCCATGTCCTCCATGTCCTCTACAGCACCTCTTCTTCCATCTAAATTCGCCGCCGAAAATCCGCCTCACGATTTACCGCCATTGCGCGAACACGTGGCATCCATTCTCTCTAATGGCGCAGCGGAAGCCTATAAGCTCGCTCCTATTGATGAATTAATAGAAAGAAATCTCCTCAAAGTTGATAGTGATGGAACTACCGCAATCTTTAATGGAACAAGAGTGTCTTGCCAGTCCAACTATCCGTTCCTTGTAATCAAAAAGAGTGATTTTGCCAATGACGACGAGAATTCTCTTTATCCTCCGTCCCAAACACCTTCTTCTTCTCCTCTTCCACAGAATCTTGCTACATCTCCCTCCCATCCATTTTCATCAACGACTAATTCTTATTACGATGCCACAAACATAACATACCCGATGCCAGCACCACAAACAGAAGTGAAAATCTCCATACCACCATCTTCATTAAGCACCATTGCAGAATTGCCTAATTCGCCCGTTGAATTAACAACGCCTACCAATGAACAAAGTGGATTGCTGAAAAAAGAGATCAAAAAGTTAAAAGAAAAGGAGAGTTTGTCAGAAACAGATACAGACAAGGAAGGGAATACTAAGGGCGAACTATGTTATTTTGAGATGACTGTGTTGGAGAATGATGGCAAGAATAATACTATTGCTGTAGGAGTTGCTACCCAGCCATACCCATGGTCAAGGTGAGTTTGAAAGTGTTATACAAGAATTCGTAGTATTTACAACTTGAGCAAGTATTGTTTGGATGGTAGTCATTTCACTGTGCTTTTGACTAATTTCCGTGTTATCCTTTCCATTTCATCATCGTCAATGCCACAGTTTCCCCGGTTATTTCCCTCACTCCATAAGTCTAAATACGAGTGGATATGCTCACGTCTCCTCTTACACATCCATTTCCTACTCAAATGCCTGGGGAGATGTTGGAGATACTGTCGGATGCGGATATTACCCGAAAACCGGAGAAGTGTTCTTTACGATAAACGGCTCAAAGCACCAAGCTGCATATACGGGGCCGCAGCATATATGGTATCCCTGCATAGGGGCAGATGGAAGGTGCAAAGTTAGTGTTAATTTTGGCAAGGAAAACGGGGACACGTTTGTATTTGGCGAGGCGAGAGGATCTGGAAGTGTTGTTGTTATCGATTGATAATGTACGTATCAGGTTGGATAACAATAATTTTATATTTATTATTTACTATTTCCTTATTGCGCATGGTCACCTGTTATATTTTAAATCAAGGGCAAGTTTTGTTAGTATGTATGCGAGCTTTTAGCCATCTGTAAGATAGATGCACTACAGTTGCAATACTCGCCATTGAGTATGGCATGTACTCTTATTGGTATTATTATTATGCCTTCTGTTGTTAATTTTATGTAAATAATGAAATAACCATGTATTTTTAGTTCATAGTGATAGTGCGCAGTACGTATATATAAACATATATGTTGTATGAATATTTATATTGATAATTCGTACACCTTCATTATAATTTGTCACAATGGCATGCATGCATGTTATTATGGGGCAGAGAGATTTCAGTGACTCGGAACTGTTGATTGTCCTGTCCATTAATAATCATTTGCCTTAACAATTAAGAGAGACGTCATCAGTAATATATTAATAAATAATATTTATCTAATAACAATTGAGGTTCTGCATTCGGTCTGGTCTTAATCAAAGATTGCGCTGTTTCTTGTGGTTTTAACCTCAAAATAAGTGGCCATTTATTGAGTGGCGAAATCCGAAACTTGTTTTGATTATTGTACCAATACTTTCGATTATTAGACATAATCGTTTTAATTTTCCTAACTTGGAGGATAAGCTTTGATTCATCTGGCCAAGGCAAGCCCTCAAAGGGTTTACGTTGATTGTCGAATAGTGACAATTTACATCAAGTGTAATTTTGCAAATTGTAGTTTCATTTGTCAAATACCATTATTATTATTATGCTATAGATATAAACTGTCGAGTTGTTTTTTGATTTACCAAAGTTTATTATTATAATAAGATTTGGAGAATAAGGATTCCAACATGTACTATACTGATGTTACTGACTAGTGAATTTTGCATGAGAGCCATAAATATCACATTAAGAGATATCTAACATAGACTTTACTATTGTTATGTATATAATCTTACGTCTTCTAAGTGAAATGGTAAGAATCTGTTAGAAAATCTCGTCTTTACTTACAATAGAGTATCGTTACAAATCCGGTATTCTTTGTGAATGTTGACCTCGATTTGGTTCATTTTCTTTTGTAAGAGCTTTTTGACCTAACTATGTATTGTCCCGAGGAAATATTACAGATTATGTAAAATATCGGATTTTTCGGAGTTGTACCATTGTAGTCCGCATCTCGCATTGAGCCATTTTCTGATAAGGTAATTACTATCAGCGAACGTAGGACAAGGGACGGGTTTACGAAAAGTGATTACGCAAGGATCCGAACTTTTGTTCTCTGAAATATATTCGCTGACGATTGCACAATTAGTACACGTAATATTATATCTATTTTAAGATCTATTTATAGAAAACATGCATACAAGAATTTGCTTTTAGATGAGCCTTTTGGATCCGACTTCTCTTTATACCGTAACTTAAAACAGTGGTATTATTTAACCTACTCCTATTCACTATTATATTTAGTAATATCCGGAGGAAGATAACAACCCATTGTAATGAAATGACATATTAATACACTATCTTTGAGACTAAACATTTTCAACCATTGTGAAAAATCTGCTGAGTAAGGAAGAAATGGAACTGAAGTAGAGAAAGACAACCAAAATAAAAGGCGGTTGAATTGTATAAAAAAGTAGCCAAACAAGGAAATGCTCAGGCACATACATGCAGTCTTGGTTGGTGTTATGCAAGTGGAACTGGAGTAAGGGGAAAAAAAAATGCACAGGAGCAGTTAAACTGTATTCAAAAGCAGCTAAACAAGGAGATACCTATGCACAATAATCTTGTTGTTGTTGTAAAAATGGAGCTGGAATGAAGTAAGATAATCAAAAGTGATTAAACTATTTAAAAGAGCAGTTAGGCGAGGTCTTGCTAAAGAATTAGAGCATATTTACAATATTAATTTATGTAACAATTAATAATAAAAAAAGGAAAAATTAAAAAAAGCAAAATTTCCCTCAAAAATTTTAAGTCATAGTCACAATAGAAGGCTCTTGCAAAGTTAGTATTTTGCATTTAAACTAACTTTGTAGATCAACAAAGATTTGTTGACTATTAATATCAAGATAATTTGTGGTAAAATATTAATGATGTGCCATTTAGATTGTTTTATACTTTTTTGTAAATTAACAACAGGAACATTGCATACTATTATTAATTACCATGACAAAAATATTTTCATAACTTTTCCAACTTTGGATCAAATTGCATCATCATATAAAGCATAGTGATAAATGAACCCAAATGTCTATAATATAAATGTTTCATACCATATTAACATTGCAAACAATTCTAGATTAAACCCAGCTGCCGGGCCAACTCATTTCTCCAGCCAATGTTCCTAAAGTCATTGACAGACTAAGTAAACAGTCCTGACCCCAACCCATTTGAAAACTTCGTTAAGAATAGAGTGAAAAAAAGAGTACATCAAACCTGTGGTGAATTAGTTGAGAAAGGTAATGGTAAAGTCTATGTGAAAGAGTATTGAACAATTATTATACTTGAAAAATGGGAAACAAATCTCATTTAATTGTTGTTAATAAAATCTACAACTTTTTAGCTGTAAATGAGGTATCTTACAACTGTATGACTCAGAGAAATGGTTTGTGCCATACTGAAAAACATTAATTTGCAAAAGCTTTGGTAACACGCTGAAGAATGCATTGATAACCTCAGTATTAGAAACCTTTTTTCAATGACCAACTATAACAAATGAATTCTTACCCTAACATAATAACCAAGGGTATGGAAGGCGTATTAGGATAGTATACTAATACTAGAGTAGTCAACAGCGACGCGTTCCGTCGTTCATTTTGGCACAGAAATATGCAATAAGGTTTACATGGGTACACAATTTATATACTACATATCAGTTCCGCTTTTTTAGTCGGTAGCGCAAAGAAATAGTTTTGCACTGAAACAACAAAAAAGCCGTTGGAAAAGGATCGTCCATCGCCCTTATTCTTTTAATGATTATTTATATCATTATTCCAATAAAGTATGCACTTAATTCGAAGTCTATTTACTGTACTCTTGAAAATCTAAGTGTTAATCCGGAAGTTAACAATTACGCAGTTTAAAAGTACTTCTCTTTGTCAATGTGAATTGTGTCATGCTTATCACTGTATGGTTTTGGACTAGGCAAAGAGATTAGCGCTCGGTAACATAATACTAAGAATACAATATAAGGAGCAACACGGTGAGCTAAGAAGAAATTTTGAGCTTACTAACTAGTTGTTGAAGCTTGGTGAGCGAAATAGCCTGTATTGTCTACTATATAATATATACAACAGCCCCTTGGGATCCATCCTTTGTGACAATTTAAAATATAATTCCTTGACAGATTAATGCCGCCTGGATTTCTTTTTAATTGAATTACATTGCAGTACTATCCCACGCATTGAGATTTCTCGTGGAACGGGATAAGTTTGGCACGATTTACGCTAACACAAAAAAGCACTTTTAACAGCAGATTGTATTAGATAACTATATAAAACCTAAGCTAACAATTAGAGTAAATAGGACAATTACAAACAACGCTTAGGAGACATTATATGAACAATTATACAAATAAGAAAAATTGAACTGGCAATATGATGCACACAATGTAACGCGATCGATCCGTCACATATAGAACAGGCAAAAGCTAATACTAACTACACAATACTATCTATTAAATTTTTCAAAAACAATCCCTAGTAGGAGATGTGAGTATTCGACTCCGATAAAAATATGCAGCAGTCAAAATAGTGCCCTGTTACAAAAGTGTCAATTAATTGCGTCTCGTCACAGATTTGTTATGAAATTGTGCCGCGTGAACACAAAGTTACGTATGGCGACTATCCAAGACTTGTGCCTTATCTCCCTACCAATGTGAAGGGCGTGTTGTAGTGTTGTAGGGTGCTGAGTGTAATATAGATTTATTTACTTCATAAAATGGTATGATGCAAAAGAATATTCGTACTTTCTAAACTCAGCAACACGCTTGCGTTGACGCCTTTAGAAGAGAAGTTCTCTGAAAAGTATTGCGAGTGTTTACAATCTTTTGTCAGTAGAGAAGCGCACTTGTTGGCTAGTGAATATAGACACATTAAAGTCCCACCGTCACATTTTTAAGATTTGGCAAATCAACAAATTGCTTGACACGTCTAAAGTAGTTAAACTCTATTATTATAAAGCAAACATTATTAATTATTAGCTAATATATAATCGCATCAATGACCCCGCTTCTGAAAAGCTTCTGGGAATTGAGATTTCATAACTGGGTGGTTGTTCCATTATGTTACTGTCTTGGCAAATCATCCGTGAGCAAATGCCAAATATAGAATCCTATCTCAATAATGGCGTTACGTGAGATATTCTGTATAGTGTTCGTTCCTGCTATTTTTTCATTCTGATATGATATGTGTGCAAACAATAGGATAGTATGCATCATTGCCGAAGACAACGAGTAGATATACCTTGATCGTTCAGCATGATCGAGTTAAATGCTGTACACAGTTTAATTTATAAATTTTCATTTGAAGTACAAAACATGCAAACCGTAATTTGTATTACTTCCATCTTTTTTGCTGTACAAAATGGCTTCTGAAGGTATGATAGAATCGATGTATGGACTTTCAAGCTTCAGCAAAAACTTTCTAGTTTATGCCCTCCTCTATCACTTCTCCTCTTAGACTTGCAAGCTTTCCTCGACTTTGCCATATTGCTTGCCCGTGAAGGCGGTCAGTTGATCCTCGAAGGCTCCAAAGCGCGATATGCATCTCAAGGTACAGTGTTCTGGAAAGCTGGTAACCCAGCAGACCTGGTTACGGAAACGGACAAGATGATCGAAGAAGTTGTAAAGAAGAGACTGAAAGAAAGGTTTCCTCAACACAAGTGAGTACGCGGTAAGGGAAGAGGGGGCAGGTGTTGTCTTTGAAGAGTTTTCTTTTTGCTTGAGAATGTTTGCATTTATCAACACGAAGGGGGGGGGTTGTTTTTTAATATGAAATTCTGTTCAGATTTATCGGCGAGGAAACTGTATCGAGTGGAGAAGATTCTGCCTTAACAGACGAGCCTACTTGGATTGTTGATCCTATAGGTAATTGCATCTTTGGGTTAATTTAGGCGCACACACAATAAATGAAATGGAATGTTGATTTATGAATTGTTATTTTGAATAGACGGTACAACTAACTTCGTGCATGGGTAAAGACAACATAGGTTGTTTTATTCTCTCTCGCGTTTTGTTCGATTATTAAGTTATTAATACGCCGTGTCATTAATTTTTAGTTTTCAATATGTTGCTATTTCAATTGCATTGACGATCAACAAGGAACCCGTCGTCGGCGTTGTTTATAATCCATTCTTAGACGAAGTGAGCAAGTATATAATATCAAGTTTTTGTTGTAATTAAGTGTTTGACCATTGTCTACGATTCGCACTACATCCTGTTCATTAGATCTTCACAGCGTCAAAAAACTCTGGCGCATTTCTCAACCTTTCAACACGTCTTCCGCTCTCTCACCCTCATCCTCCACTCCCACTTCCTTCGTCGCTTTCCCAATGCCTTGTTGCGACAGAATACGGTCATTGTCGTACTCCACATGTCATCGATAGGAAAGTCATGTCTATTCATAACATGGTGGCTAGGCCAGGGGATAACAAGTGGAGTGAAAGCGGAAAGAATGCTGGCTTGGTGCATGGGGTTAGGAGTACTGGAAGTGCGGCATTGAATTTGTGCACTGCTGCCAAAGGACAAATAGACATGTATTGGGAGATTGGTCCCTGGGAGTGGTAAGTTGAGCTGATAATGGGAATGCGGGCAAGATGGAAATATATAGGGTTAGTTAAAGTAGCAATCAACGAGATGAGTACGGGAAACCCCTGACTTGTTTGTGCGTTCATCAATAGTCTCAACTAATTAAGGATTGCATGTTTGTCAATACAATATCTCCTACAGGGACGTAGCAGCAGGTGTCTTGATACTCGGAGAATCTGGCGGCATCGTAGTTGATGCTTATGGTCCCGATGAAGGACCTGCAGACATTCTCAGCAGACGCTTTCTAGCAGTTCGGGCGGGATCACCTGCACCCGGAGATAAGACGAGCAGAGAAAGTCAATTGAGGCTTGTTAAGGAGATGTGGGATGTTGTCGAACAGGTTGAGGTTTCGAGAATAGAGGCTAGGCTTTGATGGATATACAGCATAGAATTATTTACATTGTTATATTGCATTCCCTGACATTTATTAGCATACTGCATTTGTTTTTATTTGGTCATGCTGCAAGCAAAGTGATATGATGCAACAGATGGACTTTAGTGATCCATTTTTGATGTCCGTTGTTCTTGTTCTCTACAATCTTTTAGCTGTTCAATGACTTCCAAGATAAAATTTCACAAAAATACCGGCTCTTCATATCTAAACATTGTCGGCTCTTTTGTATTCTTTTTAGTATGTCAGCCAGATATATTCTACTCAGCTTGCTTGGAAAGTTGACGAAACCCCCTCCCCCCTTTAAAGCGGGACTTTAACACTTTTTCTAAAATTGCCCGTTTTCATTAGTAGTATGTATGACTAAACGCCAAAGGCTTGCAATGTACTTAGTTTGGACATCCAGCCGAGAAGATATCGACACGACTACCAATGGTCTCTATGAATTACTCTGTCTTTATGATAAAATCTTCTGCAGTAATTGTATTCGTTAGATCGATACGTGTCAGTTCGCTACGCTGTGTACTCTTCCACCCTGATTGTTGTTTAGACGTGACTGCAACAAAGACGAACTGACATTGTCTGAAATTCGCTATTTGATTTGAGCGTTGCATTTCGTGCATTAGTTCTTTATCGAGTTTGACGTGCGAAAAGTCTGTCCAACTTTAGTTTGTGTTTTTGTGGTTGAGGTGATACGGTCTTGAAACTGATGAGTAGGTAAATGTTTAACTGTTATGGTAATTAAGTTGGGCTTATATTAATTTAACACGTGTGCTTGCTTTTTCTTTCTCAGACACAAGAGATTTGAATAATGACATTTCAGCGATCTATAAAAATAGGTGATCATCAGAAAATCGTTTATATGGTAATACACCCAGATAGGGTTCAACGCCACAAATTGGTCTTACCTTTTTTTCTTTAAGTTACCCTTCATATCTGCCTTTAAGTGCAAAGCAATGATAGTACTTATAAACCATTTTTTTTGGCCGAACATTGTCTGCATTTAAACAAGTCAATTCTTAAAGCAGTCACGGGAAGTTCTCGTATAGCAAATAGGTTGAGTTTGTGCAATACGAACACCGGTGCTAAGAATTTGGTTTTCACAATATGATAATATTAGAGAAACCCATTGTTAATGCGAAACTCGATTTTTGTTTGAAGTGCGTTTTATTTTCAATTGGCATACTTCAAACCAAAACTGTTTGATAGATAAACCAACTGTTTTCATAATTTATTGTTTAATGAACGCTCAATCGGCGTTTGATAGACTCGAAGATTGGTTATAAAACTAATATCAGTTCACCCACAATTTACAAAATTACAATCGATCAAGTTAAACTCGTTAACAATTAAATAATCTGTATCAAACGCATTTGTTCCACAAAAAACAAATCTACAAAAATGCTTACTTCTGTTGAATTCTTTGCGAGCGATTGATTAGCATTATAAGACTTACAATTAACTCGACAATATAAATCAAAAGCTTAAAGCAATAATTCAAGCAGTCGACCAGGAAAATTCTTAAACTACTAATCTACTCAGTGAGCGAAAACATTGAAATTTTATGAAAATTTAAAACAGTCCCAAACCGGTGAAAATATCATCTCCTAGTTAACCCATACCCACATGGAAATAAATAAATAAAATAATGCCATGGCGTTATCTCTTTGAGTTTATTGTGATTGGTCAGAACATCAACATTAATACTTTTGTCAGTGCTATTATAATCCGTTTTAAATTACCCAATTTTGTTTTCTATAATAATAAATACTTATATGAAACTATACTAATCAACATTAAATCCACTGTGGAACCAACGAATTACAGCACTATTAGAAGCATTTCAAAAAAAGAATGTTTGATATTAATTTAATGGTCAACACTTGACATCACAGATGTGGCTTAGCATTTAGACCAAAAGTTTTTGTGTATCTAAAACTGTTATTACCATTCATGTGTCCTTATCATTTCCTGTTACTGTGTTTTAGTCATTCAAGAATTTGCTCCATTACTAACTCCCCTTCATATTCATCTATGCTGTAATTTGTTTGGAAGATTGAGGCTGAGTACCATTGTCATTAATTCCAGAGATACTGCTGAGTGTACACACACTCTTAAAGCACAGAGGACCAATTTGCTGTGGAGAAAATATGGCACTGGAACATTCTGGGCCACAATCATAACAAAAATGAGCAATAGCTAGCATTATCCATATTTTAGAAACAAGTAAAATATGATTGAGAGTCACACTTCTCAAAACATGTCAAAAGTTCTTACCATCAACCATGTTTGGTGTGGGGCTTTCTCTGCTGGAAAGTGGTGAATTGACATAGTGCTTTCTTTCACTTCCTTACATTATCATTATAATAATCATGTTCACATCTAGTGATGCTTGATGATTAGCATATTTATCTAGTAACTCTTCTTTATCATTAATATTAGTATTACTGGTATGTCCAATTTTCCATCTCAATGTTTTGCAAAAGAGGAATGACTGACTTGATTACTCTTGTTTGCTGATTTCATAGCTTGTTTGTATTTATGGAAAACAGAAGTATAGCTTTCATCTGTGGGTAAGTCAATGTCTGGGTTATATGACTGCCAGGGCTTGGATTTCAGCAAGGATAAAAGATGAAACTTCTTTGGCATTATCATGGGTAATTGTTACTTTACTTGACTGTTGAGGCAAGCGTTTAGTGTTGCCATGCACTCTCAGCATTAGTCCATGTTCTTCTAATTGCTTATGCTGTCAAGTTTGTTCCTACTAACTAGTAAGGATAAAACCCTCTGAAGTTCGATGTCGGCGGATTTGCTCAGTGCTTTGTAATATTCATCTAAGCGAATGGCAGCAAGACGTAAAGCCTCAAAAAGCTGCCCGATCCGGTGAATATGGCTTGCATTGTGAGAATGCATCGGGGGTAAAAGTCCGTTAGAGGATCCACGGTAAGATAGACACCGCCCTAAACATGGTCCAGCAACGGCCACAATTAAGGATGGGCAATTGCACTCTCTGCTACGCTTATCATAACGGTTGGTGTATTTTTTTTGGGCGATATTACCTTTTACGTCAACAACCGGGGATGTTACCAAACGTAGCTCGACCCCAGTAGTTGTACAATTAAGACTGACTTGCTTACATGATTATCCACCAGACTTTAAGACAGTTATTTGACAAAAAGCTCGAGTTGGACTCGAATATTATTCCGCCCCTTATTCTACGTCACCACTGCGTCTACGCGCCACGGACCTAAAAACAATATGTGATGCAAGTTTATTAGACGAAGACACAACAGATAGTGATACGCGTAGTCCAAGTAAAACGAATGCCGGCAAAATAATCATAGGATATTTCATCATCTTATCGAATGATTCTTAGTTAATTGGATATTTAGAATACACAATTAATAAAGCTCCTTACTTAATAATAATCGAGATATAGTATTTATATCTCTCCGGTGTCTCGTACCAGTATAAGTAGCGAAGCATACAGAGGATTTAGTGACGTTTGAGAAGTTAAGCACCAGGCTAGATCCTTAGGACCGATTATATCCGCTCTCCCGTATGTATAGTTGGCCCGACAACAAAATGGCTATTGAACTCCACGACTTACTCGGTAAAAGAAACCAGTGAAGTAATTAAACGATGGATTGATAAAAAGGTCTAGGCAGAGAAGATAGTGAAAATAAAGACAAAAATTTTAATAACATTGACAACATGGTTAATGATAGTCTTTATGAAGATAGTACTTAGTTTTATACCAGAGTGACCAAGGAGACACGTTATCCTCTTGTTAATGGGTTTGGGACCGAGTATTTTCCTTTCATGCAATCACTCTGGTGCTTTTATTGTATTCAAGCGCGATCGCATTCGATAATAAAAATGATAGAATCATTGTTACGTTATTTTGACACGTTGTGTCAATGTAGCGAAATGCGAATCAAAGCTCAACGGATGCGCTCAAGTAGTCAATAGTTGATAACTGCGAGGAACGATCTTGGCAAGGATTTTAGCGCATAGATTTTAAGGTGCTCAACTACCCTAAATCACCAACTACCCATCTTCATAGATCATCCATCATTTGTGACTAGTCAAACTCTTTTAGGAGAGTTATTAAAAAAGCCGTAGGTACGTTCCTTATTTTGATGATCGTTACAGCAGTAACAGCAGTCGAATTGCCGACTCTTATTTACATTTAGAACAGTATTAAATATATAAGTCATTAAATTTATCCATTAGAATAAAATTTCTTTTAAGCTTCGTCAATGCGAGTAATGGCAATTGCATATTTAATGATGTTTGTTAAGTAGTAATATTTATCCTTTTTATCGATCGATATACTAAAATAGTAAATCACTATTCATTTCATTTCCCTGTGTTCGTGTTTCAGATAGAACGAAATGGTTTACGCAAATTTTAAGTCTCGCAGTGTGAAGTGCACGCCAGATAGTTGAGTCAGCATATTCCTTTTTTTCCAAGAAATTGAAAATTGCCTAATGCATTTCAACGTTAGTCGCGAATGTATAAAGAATGCAAGAACTTGACTTTATTTGATCCGGAGACTTTATACCGACTGAATTGACCGCTCTCATTCCATGTGTTTCAGCAACCTTGTCATCGCCAAGAATACTGCTTCTTTGCAAGTCGATAAGTATGATATATAGACGCGAAACTATTCTCATTATTGCCCATGACGTGACAAAAGTCAATTGATAGCATAAAAAAGACTTATTGTTTGTTGTAAATGACATAATTATCATAGTGAAGCTTTCGAGTGCGTAAAATTTATCGTACACGGCACATTGAATTATTGTTATCCCAGAAGCATACTTCCTGTATATATCGATTCTAAAGACTCTCTTGCAGTAATTATCATTCTGTTAATCGACGACAAGAACTTACTTATGCGTATAAGTGCTTAAAAGTCTCTTTGCAAAGCCAAATAATAAAAACTGATACCCAACACACAACGCAATCTATTGAACTGAGAATTGAAGAGTGTTGAGAGGAAAAGAATCATTCACCAGAGTTAAAGACAAGTACAATGATAACAAGAAAGTACACACGCTGAATTTCCGACTGACAAGAGTATGGTTGTATGTGAGAGCAGAGATCGGGGGAACAACAGGTCCATTGAACGCTTGAATGGCTTGCATTTTCTATTATCACATCTTATTCAAGAGAAAGGGACAACAATGACGTCAAAATTTCACCTTGTCTGATTCTGTTTGCATACGCCGCACGTATGTTGCATGTTCCAATTGTTGTTCCATTGTTCTTATATTTGCCCCAGTGACTTTTCTTCTAATAGATATATCATAGTCCATCTTAATTTAATTTAAACACGCATGAAATCAATGTATACAAAAACGCACATAGCCACACAAATAATGTCTTTGCTTACGCCACAAATGATATGCCCGCACTGTTGTTTGTTTGCTGTACTGTCGGAGTTAATTTTGCAAGTATTATCTAATCCGTCAATTTTGTCGAATAGCTTGGGGCAAGCTTATTTTTCAATTTTGGGATCGATCTTCTTTACTGTTAAATCTTATCCCGTGTATATACGGTGTTATGATTCACCCATTATTGCAACTCATAACCCATTATTGCAACCCATTATTACACATATTATATTATGCACATTGTCATATATCCACGCTCCGCATATACGTTTGTTTGTATATATTACATCAGTATAATCAATTTTATTTATTTATTTTTTTGCTTCTTATATTTTGTATGTATCGTATCAAATACTGCTTGATATTTTATCTTTATATTTATATGATAACTATAATAATTTATAGTTATCTTTTGTATATCTTTTTTTAGCGATTCTTAAAAAAAACGAAAGAAAGAGAATGTGTTTAATAAAATCGATGAAAAAACTACGTTCAAAATGTATGTAAAAAAAATTGGATTTAAAAAAAAAAACAAAAAAAAAACTATCTTTTACGTGAAAAGTAAGGACGAGATTAAATCACATCCTTTTCCAATGTCCATCTGATTTTGTTATGAGTTTGTTTTTAAAAAAAAAAAAAACAAACAATTCCGAATTGTGAAATCGAACAGTTTCAAAGTATCCCGTAGAGTATATAATAGTATCGCAGAAATACTATCTCCAATCGCTATTACTACAAACGTCGATATGAATAATAATAGCAATATAAACGCTACAAAATACAGAGAACCAATAAACCCCAATGCGATAAACTCCTTCCTCCTCAACACATTCTAAACTCTGTTGTTACACGTCTCTGATAATTATAATCGTCAAATCTTAATAAATCACGCGAATTCTGTCTTGCATATCCAAACTCGTACTCTTTTAACCGATTGCTAGTCGTAACGTTCGGATGGCTTGAATATTGTGGAGATGGTAAAGCGTACGGGTATGTTGTCGGTAAGGGTGATGTTGAGATTGGTGGAGACAAGTATGAAGAAGACGGTGTGAATGATGATGGCGGCGGTGATGTTGAGATTGGTGGAGACAAGTATGAGGAAGATGGTGTGAATGATGATGGCGGCGGTGAAGGCGATGAATACGACGAAACTGATGATGATGACGAAGAGAATGGGGAGGGTGGAGATGGGGTAAATAAAGAGAAATTTGTGGGGCACGATGATGTTAAGTTGTATATGTTGACTGTATCGTTTGGTGGTTGATAGACATGAACTTTGTATCCTTGTTGGTTTGGTTGGTCGACCTACATTGACGGTAACATTGGGTGTGAATAAAGAGTTGAAATTCGTATCAATAAATTCGAGTCTGCTAGCTATAATTTCGTTCTCACCTCGACTGGGTCGGGAATTTGTAATTCGGCTCTGTTGCAGGTATTAACAGCAATGACAAGCTCGTCTCGTGGAGCAGTGACATTCTCAATATCGGATTGGTACACCACGGCTAGTCTATGATAATCAACAGATCTATCATCAGTCACATGGTCGCACAGTTCACGTGATCACGACAATTTTATCAATACAAACGAATTTTCTTACCTGCGTGTCTGCTCGTTTTCAAAAATAGCTTTCATATCTGATTCAATTATTTCACTCGTTTTTTCTAGTTGTCGTTTCTGCAACCCAAGAGCTGCATTGGCTTTTTTTAGTGCTTCGATTCGCTTTTTATAATCTGTTCGTAAACCCATTGCGGTTTGTTGTGGTGGGCCTCTGAGTGAGCAAAAGAGAATTGATTTGATTAGTATACAGATTTAATAGCCAGTAGGTAGCGAGATAGTTGATAGTTAAGTTAACAGTCTTGTATTTCTACTAAATATATATAGATATGTAATGAAAACTAACTATTAAAAGTACATAGCAATGAATGCCCCGCTCCCTCTCGTTTGCACTTGTTCAATTAGCCCCCCCTAACCCTAACCCTTCCCAGTGCAGCTCCACCCAAGAAACTTACTTCCACCTGACATGATTCTTTGAATTCTTTTCGATTAAACAGACACCTTCGAGTACGTTTGTTATATCATAAATCCTTCGTTTCTGAACATTTAATGCGGTGGCTGCTGTGTTGAGATCTAAATCGCCGTCTTTGGATTCTTTGAGTAGGCAGACAAATTTTTTGGTAAGCAAGCCAAGCGAACTGTCATAACGGCATGAGGTTGCGTTAGGAGACGTCTGGTTGGGGGCTAAATTGTGTGAGAGAGAGTTTGTTAGGATTAGCGATATGGGATTATGGATGATGATAAGTAGCGAAAAGGCTGGATTGCTCATACTATGAGTGGTTTGTAATGTATACTCATAAAGAACGGGATATTTGAATGCGAATTGCGATTTTACGAATGTTTTTGTGTGTGTGTGTGTGTTTGTGTGTGTTTGTGTGTGTTAGGGTGGGGAAGGTGGGAGTGGATGTTTGGATTCTAATATCATAACAATATAATGTGAAATTCTCAACATACCGTCCGGTGTCAAGTCAAGAGACTGCCTCTTGGTATATGCCTTTCTGCGCATTTGTGGGTATGTATTTGCGCGTACAGGTGATAGCATAGCCTTTGCTACCTCTCGCCTTATATTCGTTCTGTGGTCTTTACTCATTATTCGTAGGTGTGATCGTCACTAAGGGTTATAGGGTTCAGTCTTGCAAAGAGCAGCAGTACGAATTCTAAGACGAATTGCAACGTTCTCGTTGACCAAGAGCAACCTTGTAAGAACGAACAAAGAGCAGAAAGGAATCAACGCTAATATTTATTATGGTTGTAATCCCACTATTCACGTTACAATTGAATAAGGTTTGTTCTCCGAATATACACGTCCAATTAAAAAGTACATGTTGGCTTTATTGAAAATGAAATATAAATAGAAATTAGAGTAAAAATAAACAATGATTATGTGCGATTATGTTTGATTATATTAATTATTATATTAATTAAAAATCATTGTTTGAAAAATGTGATAATCGGACAAAGTAATCACACGAGTGGACAACAAAGTCGGGTTGGGGGTGTTACTGTGACATCTTTGTCTTAATAATAAATAAACACAGTTTATTTGACGTTCATATCATTATTAGTCGTTGTCCAGGATGAGTAGCATTGTACAAAGCGATTAAAGGGAAATAAACAATGGATGATCAAGCGTTGTTCCAACAAGGAAGTAGCTGGATATGGAATGACGTGATGGAAAAAGATGGGAAGAAACAGAGGCGAGGATAGATGGGGATAGGGTGGAGGGATGGGAAAGAAAGAAAGAAAAGGGAAACGGAAACGTGATATCACCGGAAATGGAGATTGTATTATAAAAAAGCGAACAGGTTAGAATAAAAAGTAGAGTTTACCTGAATTTACTGGAATGATTCCTTAATAAGCAAACAGGTCATATGAGAAGAGTTGGATGGGGGTGTGGGGGATGGGGGGAGGCGGCGGCGGATGAGGGAACAATAGCTGGCTGAAGCGGGGAACGGGCTAAAAAGTGAAATTTGGAAATAATTATGTAATTAATCTGGATATAATCATTACCTGGGACTTGATCGAGAGATACAATATATGTAAGGTATAATATAAAAGTCAATTGAGGCGGATGCGAGAATAATCGATCTATAAAATCATATCTATTTTATTTATCTGTCAAATCTATCCATTATTATATGATGCAAATAAATAAATAAATAAATAAATAAATAAGTATGAAATAATTAATCGTCAAAATGCTCCAATTAATAATAACATTAACCATTAATAGCAATAATAATAACAACCGAGTAATTATAACTACGGTAATAATAACGATAAGGAATAAAGAGCGAGGAATAATTACGACTATCTACGACTATGGAATATTATTATGTATATACAAGTATATCTACCTGTTTCCATTAACTAATATAGACTACTATCGTTATCGTGGTTATAAAATATACATGTCTTTTTGCTACCTACAATTGTCCCTCGTTCTGTTTCAACTGTTCATGGGACTCTTCTCCGTTGCCCAAGCCACAATTGTTATACATTAACCAAATACCACACATTAATTCACAGTTCTATGAACACTATTATGGTAAAGACCACCAGCCGGAGTAAATGGAACGTGTTGCTCAATATGCACACTTGCATGCGTATATATATCAATAAATGTACCATCATCACATACCATATCGATACAACATATCTCATAATCATTGTCATCAGAATCATTTTCATCGCAGTCATAACCATCATCATCGCCATCCTCCTCCTCCTCCTCCTCCTCTTCATTCCGTTGATTATATCATTTTCTTATTTCCTCCATCTGCTCCATTTTCTCTTCTTCTCAATTCTTCACTGTCTGGGCTTATTCGCAAACAAAAGAAAAAAAAAATAAAAAAGATTTCTACCACTGCACAAACAAAACAATCTGTGTGACTAGACATTACTGTTTTAGCATGTTTGGTATGATGTAGGGTCCAAACCGTTTCTTTGTCTGAGAGAGAATAATAAGCGCATGAATATGAAGTGAGGGGCTGAGTTTTTTTTTTTTTCTTTCCTTTTACTTTTCTTCATTTCATTCTTATTTGGCGACAGATGCAATCGGTGTTGTGCAATATGAAGTGGTGAGGTTAAGAAGCTGTGTTCCCCTTTTACTTTCAATATGTGTCTATATTCAGACAAAAGTACGTCATTTTTTATATACCTTGACCCATTTCTGTGAGGGGGTCTGTGTTAGTTTGTCGTTGACGATAAATGGCATAACCCTACGGTTCAGTTGCACACGTTAATGTATCTAATGTCATCACTTTCGTATTTCATTATACATATTTGTTATTCATGCTATGCTCGTATGTGTGGTCTATCTAATGCATCTAACTTTCTCTGTCCCAGCTCCTCTCAAACAATGGTTTTACATTTCCATTTGTCTTTCCTGTCCCGCTTTTTTTACAGCCCAACCTTTGGCGTTTGCTAAGCACGCCAAGTGCAAGAGAATGAGATGCCAGCAGCAAACAAAAAAAAATTCATGTATGTATCGACAATAATTATAATGGGTCATTTGACATACCGTTTACTTTATCGTAAAAACTTTACAACAAACAATCCCCAAACTAATATAATATGTTCAATGGGGCTGCATACATAACATTCCTTTTTTATTTCTCTTTATCTCTTGAGAATTGTCACCACGTTTGTCTCATATCACAATCGCACCCATTATTCTTGTTCTCCATCCGCCCATCTCTTCGTCCCATTTTCCAAATGAAAGAGATTTAGGAAATATACGGCGAATTCTGCAGAGCGAGAAAAATCTGCACGAAGTCAATCTAAACTAATATGCGAGGCTCCATATTCAGGATTCCCCGAGATCATCTGAACATGTAGCGAATTTAGCACAGCGGTTATGTTATGCGTGATAACGTCGTTTGCGATATAGAGAGAGATAAAGCGAGATTGTTATGTTGTGTGAATGTGTTGTGTTTTGTTATTTGGTTTATCTCTCAGTCAGACTTGCCGAGTATGAAAAACGTCGGCAGAAAAGTCAAAACGCCCTGTGCGTCGTAATCATATTTAATGCAAAATAGCACATAAGAAATAATTACATAAGAAATAATTACATAATGCACACGGATATATATCGCCCTTATGGTATATTAGGTTTATCACATTTACACTTGGCCTAAACTTCGGAGAAATTCTATTGATCGTAACGGTAATTATTTGTCACCAAAATGCAACCTATTAAGTAATCACATGTCAACTAATCGTTGTGTCACGTGATATAAAACAATGGGTCAAACGACTCATGTATCACAACAGCAGGCAAGCATCAGGTGCATGTGGCTATCCATTAACCTCTACTAGTAACAAGGTAGAAACACGGATAGCAGCAGCGACGCACAACATGACCAGTTTTTAGATAATGAATAATGTGAATTCCTCCTCATTGAGATATTTGCCGACTGCCGTAGCTGCATAGCTGACCGAGGATGATTGATTGATTGACTGATTGATTGATGATGATGACGATAATGTTGACGATGAGGATAAGGATGAGGATAATATTGATGATGAGGATAAATGTACGATGAGGATAATGTTTACAATGAGGATAATGTTTACGATAATACGATGAGGACAAGGACATTATTATAATTACCATAATTGTTACTACCACTATTGTTATTTTGTTGATTGCCATAAACTTGAAAATTTTATTATACAATCACCAAGTATACATGTCTATCGTCCTATAATAATAATAATAATAATATACATAGACAGACATCACGAAACAGTCTTTCATCCAAATAACACATGGATTCGACCTCCAAACCTGCAAGGAACAATACGGAAATACATCGAGCATTAATACAATATGCACGCTTTGACGCACAATTAGTTAATGTCACCTCAACAACCCCCCCACCATCCCCCCTTATTACATTACATAAACATTTACCTCACGTTCTTACTCGAATGAACTGCTGCAATTATGAAATCATCGACTCCATCTCCGTCTATGTCTATCTCAGTCATTTTACTTCCGAATTTCGATCTATTCTCACTAGTGGTTAGGCATTCTTCAGCACCAGGAGTGAGGAGACCAGTATTCGGATTAAAAGAATACTTGTAGATCTTGCCGGATTCTAAAAGCGAGGTAATGGGAATGCTTTTTAGCACAAAGTCTGTATGTAGATCTAAATCAAATGAATGATTGTATCCTTTCACTCATTTCTCACTATCACACCCACTTCTCTCTCTTCCTATCTCCTTCACCACCCATTTCCATTCTCCCAAAACTCACCCCAAAGCGCAAAAGGCTCCGATACCCAAATTGATCCCTTTCCGTTCGCATGCACTGCACTTCCAAAGTGCGATGCGCTTTCTGATCCGTAAAGTAACGCGTACATTCCCTCCCCAAGTCGCAAGTCAGATATCAACGAACCATTGCGCAGAGTGGTGAAATCGATAATGCGTAATGCTCCGGCTTGCCAAAACTTTATTCGAGGAAAAGATAGTTGGTGGGTCTTTGATGGGTGGCAGAAGTGAAGGCAATAGATTGATGTGAGGTGAAAAAAGAAGATTATATGTTAGGCTTCTATTATATAACCTGTGGAGTATGAAATGCTCAACAAGAAGTGCAATAGCCGTCACTGATTATAAGGGTATTCTACAAAAAGAAAGTACATACCTCAGATTCGGATGACACTGCTAATAACACTTTTCCATCACCACGAAAATCTCCTGACAAAATTGTACTGTGAAAATAAAACAAGGGGTAAGTTTGCCCATTCTTCACCGTGAATATACCAAGCACTTATCGTTCGTCACCCGCCAACAATATTCTTCTCAGCATGTTATAGGAATCTAACTTTACCTTCCTAAGCCTTGGAACTTTTCAGTCCCACTTAGATCAAAAGTCTTCCTTATAACTATTTCGGGCATTGGCATTTTCTCGCCTTGTTTTTCTCTTGTGGTTATTTCATATCCATACAGCCTCCCTGCCAACGGTATCCCACGTTTTCCATATCCCCGTGCACTCACAATTAAAGTAACCTTTGCGGAATCGGCATGGTTCACAATCTCAATTGCCGAACCGAATAACTCTCGTTTTCGTTTTAGTGGAGATAACAGAACATGGTCTGCTTCAAACAGCGGAAGAATGCCACTATGATTGCGCGATGAGAGAACAAAGAATAATACACCGACCTTTTAGGAATAAAATATGTGAAAAAAATTGCAAGTTTAGTACAAAGACTTTTTGTGCTCGAAACCACGGTTCAATACGGTTCAAACCCCCCTCCCCCCAATTTTTCAAAGCCTCAATTTTCCATCAACCATATCTATCGTTCTACTCCAACCCCACCTGTTCGGTCACGCCACGAATATAAAGAGTGCAAAATGGACACCCAATGATCAAATCCTTTTTTCCATCGCCGTCAATATCACCAGCAGCCAAGGCTTGTCCGAGTTGCTCAATTTTAATTCTCAATGAAAAACGCGCATCTCCAGGTTGAATCGTGATATCGGGAGTGGTAGAGAGGCCAGACTCGACATGGCCGAAATAAACGTATACGCGACCGGAATAGATATCTGCGGGAGGCGGATGATAGCCTGTCTGTCCTGGTTCTTCTGACCAGTTTGTCGCATTACCGGCTCCTGGAGCTGATATGACCAAATCATCCACTCCGTCACCGTTCAAATCTACTACCGCACATGACCAACCGAACCGTGCCTGTGCGGATTGCTCGGGATTGGTAAGTGTGCGGTTGGCTAATGCGGCGACGTCGGCTGTTGCATGGACATTGGAGTGACGCAATGGAGAGGTCCCGCCGTCTAGAATGAAAACACTACCAACGTGTAGAGCAGTTGAGGATGGCGGTGTGTAATACGGAGCAGTTAAGACTATGTATGATAATTAGGAAAGAAAGAAAGAAAGAAGAAGCGATTTATCTCAGGCACAATCGACAGATACTTTGTGTGCCTAAATAAAGACCTCGAAACCTCGACAGATACTTTGATTGCTCAATATACATTTTTACTTTCACTTTTTTTTTTTTTTTTTTCAATTCCTTTCACTCACCTTTCACTAAACCACAAATGTTTACAAAAAAAGATACTCACCCAAATCCTTAAACCCATCATTGTTAAAATCTCCAACACACATCGCATGTCCTAAACCAGCATATGGTTGCGGTATATCCAATGTTGTGGCCGCCTTCCGAGCTTCCGCTACCGGATGGCAGATGACAGGCAGTCCAGTTGTATTTGATGGGGATGTGGGAGAAACGGATACGGGAGTTTCAAAAGGCGAGGTTTGAACCGAAATGGATAATGGCCGTTGATCCCTACGATTAGAATGCGATTTGTTTCCAGCGATGGCCCGTCTTATGATAGTGTTTATTTTTTCAAGCTCGTCTTCCGTGATCTCTTCCGTGGTCCTATTTCTCCTGTCCTCCAAGTAAAATCTTGCGACTCCTCTCTCGTCCATGCTACTCTTCACTTGCAACCCGATTACGTCCAACATTTCCGTAGCGTGTGTTCTCATTATCTTTCCAAAGTTGATATAGTCGTCATCCTCGGTGTCCATGTTAGCCTGTTCATTCTCGTCGGCTCTGGCTTTTTCCCTTACTCCACGTTGCTCAACTTGATCAATAGTCGAATACTGTGCAAAAATCCTGCACGGAAAGAACTCATGGGCTCCTTCCTCGAGCCATTTAGCAAGAGCGTACCAGCATTCGTGTGTATTTGCGGCCATTTCGTTGAGCCCGCCACGGTAGTATGATGTGAATTGTTCGATTAAAAACGGAGACTGGTATAAATAGGAGGGGAGAATGTAAACGATGAAGTGCTTTTGAAGATTAACACTAGAGAATTTGGATTTCTGATCTTGCATACCTGTTGGCCATACACAGCGAAGAAGTGCTTGCCGAGTCTCTACCGAGTTTATATAGGTAAATAGATACAGAACTAATTAATATTTCTGGTGCAAGATGTAAACAATAATTCTGTTCTCATTCTCACACTTCAAAGCTACATACTTTGTTAGCCTGTTGGGCCGTAAATGCTTTTTGAATGCAATAACTCATCTCCTCTGGACGCGCTTGTAAACCAATCTTATTGTATATCTCTTTGATATCTGACAATGGCGCCTCCCATACATCCTGATTTTAGGTGAAAATTATTTGATGAGACAATACGCATATTAATTAACATGCAGAGAGAAAAAGATGACGGAAAGAGATTAAGTTATATCTACGGGACCGTTATTAAGATGTTTCATGTCAGACAAATCGAAATACTGCATTCACCCACGATCCTACGCCTCATCCTGGTCTTTCTCCTTCCAATACGTTAACTCATACCAATAAATAGTCCAACTTGGTCATATGTGAAAGCGTAAATTCTCCTCCATTATCGGCTACTTGGTGCGCCTTGTTGTAGTCGCCTCCGAAGTTAATATCAGCCATAATTCTCATAAATCCGTTGCGCATCCTAATACTATGCCATGAGACGTCAGCTACATCATGAGAGGTGATTGCAAAGAGGAATGCAATTATCGACTTTTGAAAAAAGAATGAAATGTAATGAGTGTCATTGGGAGAATGTAGGCAATGTGTTTCGGGGTCATGTCAAACGTTATTATTGTCTACCTGCGGTGTCTGTTCATCGGCCCATGGTCGAGGATACCTTTCTCGTATGTAATTGACGGCCGCACGTAAAAATTCCGGCCAGTGTGCTTATGGAAAAGTAAGGATGATATATTACTCTTTGTGCAACTCGTCTCATTTGCATTACTTTGGTACGAACCGACTACAATATGATCTTATTTTATTATATCTTTATGTCTCTCACGCGATGTACCTGCTTCTGACTGTTCAGGATTTTCCAGACAATCGTATCCCCTAAAAGAACGCAAAGTCACAAAACTGATTGATACTCTAGTTTGCAAAGTATGCAGTATAATGATTTTATATTAATACTAAAATACCAGTCAGGAAAGAATGAACCAGTCTAAAGGGAAGCATTCGGGAGTGCGTTAGCATTAAAGTCTCGCCGTTGAAAACTACCATTAGCTTCTTATAAATATACTCAAAGTTTCCGTACTGTCTCACCTGGACGAATGTCGGGTACTCCCGTATAAAGTCGGCGTATTTTTCATATTCTGCAATTACTGGACTAAAGTCTGATAGTGCGCGCACAGTAACTTCGTTGTGAAGGCTCATGCCGCACCCAGAAACAGCCGTAGCTATTCCGGCGATGAGAAGACACGTAACAAGTGCTCTCTTCGCCATTTTAGAACCGAAATTTCCGTCAAAGAGGTTCAGAAATTCGAGGGGCAAATGCATAAGAGTTAAATAATTGAAAGCTGAAACTTGGTCACTGCTATTTATATTCTAGCTTCGAATGCATCTATTATGCGAATTGTAAGGGTTAACCGTTATTGTTCAAGAAATCTGTATTCAGAAATCAGTTGTGACTTTTTCAGTCTCGACATCTTTATTCCTCGATTTGCGTGTGTGTTTGTGTCTTATTTGGGGATTAGGTTGGTGAGAGCGTGCGAAAGTTACGCAAATGGAGAGAATGTCTGCATTTTTCGAGCGAACGGAGAGCAAGGGATGAACAATAAGATAAGAATAATCAATGAATTGATTTGCTCATAGTGGCATGGGGCTGTTCTGCGATAAAGTGAACACAAAAAGGGATGGCAGGAAACCGACTACCAAATTCTGGCTATGTGTCAGTATGCGATATTCAAATCAAGAAAGCGCTTCTGTAACAGCCGGGTTTACACACGGTACCTTTTTTTTTTTTTTCATATTTTTTGATTGACCCCACATGAACAATTGAATTTATGAAATCGTGTCACAACAATCAGTAAAAAGTCAGGGATAATGTTTTTATAGCGTTAGTAGCCCGCTCAACAAATCCCTTTTCTGGTTAGCAAGGAAATCCCTTAATTATAGCACCCCTTCTACAATTCACATTCTTAAAAACAAATTATCAAAAAACGAGTTTGTCTTGGTCTTTTGCGTTATTATACGACTTACAATTGTAAATTAAAGATAATTCAATAATTGCCGAAAACGTTGAATCTTGTGAAATTTACTTGCCAGGAAACCTGAGCTTGACCCTATTTTGGGATCAGAATCAGTGAAGCAAAGGCGTTACTCCCCTAAGAGTATCTGATAGCGATAATAAGTCTTGGCAAACATCTGCTTAACAATACACATAAGAACGAGAATCAAAGAAATCATTAGATCGGATACAAAACTGCATACTAATACGAGTTCTATCTTGTTACACCTTTTTTGTTCGGTTTATGATAATATTGTCCAGAAATGGCCAACCGGATACAAAGCATTGGTATTAAATGCACTATTGATTAAGTTGAAGCTTTAGTGTTTGACAAAGGCTTGCTATTACTATCATATTTTAAGCTAATACTGTAATACATCATGCTCTTCTTCCTCAATCTTGTGATATTTCATAATATTATCCTCTAATAATATAATAGTAAAACTAGTTCTGTTCACTGGCCATAAATAAGCAATAGTGGTAATTCCAGGAAGCTCTCTTAAGTATTAATTTAATATGTCACGAAAGTCCAACATATAAATAGAAGTTTCGACTTTCAGTACATTTTGATAAATTTCCACTGAATCTGGCTGCTCGAGTTAGAAGTCAATTACAAACAGCTATTCAAAATTATGTGTTAAAGAAAAGCGTCTTTTTTTGGCAAGCAAGAAGAAGCTGTTTTTTTTGACAATATTGCTGTCAACTAATGTCAAAAATATAAGCCAAGTTACTGCAATGAAGCAGTGGAATAATTATAGTTTAATTATTCCACTTATCCGGATTATAACCATCCCAATGACGATGAGATTACGTTTGTGCCGTCATTCAACTACGGCGAGTTTGTGTTTGTGTCGTCATATGGTTTTTACATTAGATCCGAGATATAAATTTCATAATCGACATACTCTTCATGATCAAATCATGGGAGCATATGAAGAAAAAAGACAATTAATAAAAACAATAGTCAGTCGAATTCCGGGGAAAGTATCTTTCACAGCAGATATGTGGACTGCAAAAAACAATGCAGCTTTCCTGAGTTTCACAATTCATTATATAGATGGAGAGTGGGTATTTAAGACATTTTTATTAGACATTATTCCAATGGGCAGTGCGCCATACAGGGATGAATATAGCTGAGGCTATAATTAATGTATTGGGGGAGCATAATCTTAGTAATAAAGCATTAGCATTGAAACAGACAATGCATCGGCAATGTTAGTTTGTGGGGGAACAATTGCAAAAGAGCTTGCAGATAATTTCAGCAACCTAACCTTCACTCACTATCGATGTGCGCTCACGTACTTAATCTTGCGGTTCAACAAGGACTTCAACAAATCAGTGAAATGCGCTCACGTACTTAATCTTGCGGTTCAACAAGGACTTCAACAAATCAGTGAAATTATCGGAAAAGTCCGAAATATGATGACTGATGTACGATCCTCCGCACCGACTATTACATCTTTAAAAGCATTATGCGTTCTTAAAGAAATCAATTATCTTGCTCCTGTAATGGATTGTCCTACCCGATGGAATTCCACATACTATATGTTGAAGAATTTTGAGCACTTCGAATGATAATCCTAGTGTGAGAGATCGATATCCATCACAATCCGAATTACAGAATATTCACGATATTATTGTATTGCTAGAGCCAATCAAACGTGCTACGCTTTTCCTCTCTGCATCAAAATATCCCACGCATGGAGACATCCGACTATGTTTTTTGGCAATATTAGAAAATCTTGAGAATGAGTTTTTCACTCAGTCAGCGGCTGCTAACAGCATCTACAATAAACTCAAAGACTATTGGCCTATTTTAGATCACACATCTCAAATATCTGCTATCTTGGATCCACGCTCTAAGCTATCAGCATTTAAAAACGATAACAAGTTAAAGCAGCTATTTTAGAATTGACATCATATTGCAATTCATCTCTGTCTAATGTAGAAGAACATACTGGAGATGATGTTGTTGATGTACGAAATTATTTCCGTCAACTTCGACAAAGAAATGCAGCCATCACTGATGGATCTATAGTACACTTTAATTCTGAAGCCACCCTTACTTCAAGCAACAATTCTTCCATGTACACAAATGAATGGCTACTAATTTATGCCGAGTTAACACGTTATTTGTCAGCTCCATTGGAAGATAAAGTAGATCCACTGCTTTTGTGGCATGCTCAACAAAGTGTGTATCCAATTCTATCACTTATGGCACGGGATTACTTGTCAGTTCAAGCAACAAGTGTTGCTTCTGAACAAGCATTTTCAGTTGCAGGACAGACAATAACATCTCAGCGTAATCGTCTAGATCCTGATACTGTAAGAGCAAGTCTGTGTCTACGATCTTGGATAACTAATCATATATGTTCATACTAATATTACAATGAATAAATTCTATAATTATAATACATATTTTCATTGTTTTCTAATACTGTTTGATTTATTCAATATTATCAAATTTTATTATGTAAATATACAAATTATCGCTATTTTCATATAATAGGACTGGTTTGGAGAAACGGACTGAGAACCATTTCAGAACCAGTTCGGTTGGTTCCAATCTAAAGAACCGGTTCTTTAGAACCGGAACCGACCGAACCGAACCGATCCATCCCTGCTTTTGAGGTGTCGAATATGATAAATCGAAAAACAAGAAAAATAACACGAAAAACGGTTCGCAAAATGCTCTGCTGGGGCCACTATCAATTTCGCCAACGCCTGGTGGCTAAAGCAG